AAACACTGGGCTCAAGATAAAAGAAGTTCACTTCCATCTTCTTGCATGTTTTACCTATTCCACTGCCCGCGTCGCATCTTTGTCAACACAAAAGCGCTGTGTGAATGATGCCTAGCGCTAAATTTACGGTCCATCCCAGAGCGCGTCACACGTGGGTGGTTAATCACGTGCGCCGACATGCGGTTGGATCGTTCTTTTCTCTTTACTGTTATCACCGGCATATTGTCAAAGTGTCTAATTCTAACATTTGGTAATATTTCTATTCAAAATCGCGATTCCTCGATTTCGAAAAAATAAAATCGTGGCAAAACAATAAATTCGAATTAATCGATAAAATCGGAAAAATCGCCCAGCCCTATTGTCACCAAAGCTTGTGTTTGTGTGCATTATTCTTACATCCAGATTCTCGTTCTGTTCGGCTGGGTCATCCTCCGTGTCGCTGTTTTTGGGCAGGTATGTCATCTTCAGTCGCAGATTACCTTTCACCCTCGACTTGTGACTGTATCGAAAGAGTTAAACAAACACATCAACAAAAGACCTACATCGAATTACCGGAAAAAACATAGTTTTAAACATAAAACTCCACTGAAGTGTATCAGAAGTGTTGACATGTACATGTTTGAAATGAAAACAGTTCACAGTTGCATGATGTCATAGCAGGTCAAAGGGCCTTTCACAACATCAACAGAATTAAGTCAGTGAGCGTTAGGTTAAAAACCCATCACGTTTGGGGAATAAAGCATGCAGGCAGTGAAATCTCTGGCTAACCTTCTCGGGTGCAACAGGAAGTCCTTGAAAGTGTACGGCCTTTCATTGTTGGGATTTTCGGTCTGTGGGTATAAAAAAAGATCAAAATATTAGCAGCAGTCTAAATAAATAAGCATGAATTTTGCTCAAATTTCAAATTAAACATTATTCATTACAAATAACCTATGCAGGAAATAGTCTACGAAGTGTCAAGTGTCATGGATATTTTTAAGTCTTAATGTTTATGATCACTCAGCCAAGCAACACACACACACACACACACACGTATATATATAGACAGACTTTAATGTTCACAGTGACTAATAATGAGGTGCAACTGAGCAGCTCCAAAACCAGAAGGTTTATGTTACGATGCCATGTTAAAACCGGAGCTTCTCTGAAGACATATGAGGTGGACCTTCTAAAAATAACACCTACACTTAACCTACATTATTGACAATACAAGTCAGCAGCTTCTACAAAACACACATCGAGTTAAACACACAAAATATAATGCTGACAAATACTCACGGGGATCTGGTGCAGAGGAACGTCCACTTGTCCGAGGAAGTCGTCCCTCGTCTGCAGAGAATCAAGAAAACACAGAACACACCTGTCAGAGATTCTGACACAGAAACAACTGGACATACTGCATACAAAATGAACAAAATACAGTCTTACTGAGCTTGTCTGAGATCAGTCTGAACTAGAGACGCAACAATACTAAACTTCTCAGCCGATTCAGAATGATATCTGCCGATACCGATAGTTAAGAATGTACAGGATATGAAAGCTGAGGCTTAGTTTTTTATCAGACTTAAAGCACAAAGCTCTTTGCGATTACTGGATGAGAGGTGCGTTAAAGATAATGTTAGGTGAAGGGAAAACCATGGATCTGGCAACCCTGGCTAAAACTATGGGTGATTCATGGGGTCGAATAGAACTGCGTTAACAGCACTGTGTTAAGGCGTTATTGTTGCTTTAACTTGGACAGCCCTAAATTCAACACAAGAAACATTTTCTTCATGCAAATCATTGATCATCAGTTGTTTTTAAACAATTGTCCATAGTGCAGATAATTGCTTTTATCGGCCAATAACGATTATTGGCCGATATATCGGTGCATCACTAGTCTCACCGTGTTTATCTGCTCAGAGCATTTATGATTCTGAATCTATTACTATTACATCTTTTGACTTTGGTAAGTATGTAAACATAGCAACCACCCAGAACACCCTAGCAACCACAAAAACCTCTTAAAACCACCCAAAACACTCTAAAAAACACCCAGAACACAATAATATTATGAACACACAAATAAATCCTTTTACTTAATCCATATCAAAACAAACCATCATATAGGGGTGTGCGATATATATCGTCTGCGATAATATCATAATTGTTGTTTTAACGATGTGCGATATGACATTGAGTATTTTGCAAAAACCATTCAAAACATTCCTACAGAGTGCATGCATACATTACGTGAAGTCTAGTGCGAGTGCGCATTTAGAGTGTGTTCTTTCATTGCATGATTCAGTCTAAAAAAATGCATTTAGAATGATCACAAAATTCAAGATATGGGGACAGAAATGTATATATTTATACCACTTCATATAGTTATTCAATTTCACACGAAGAGTGCCGTTTTTCTCCAAAAATTACCATGATTACAATTATTGAGATGCACCTGTATATATATTTATATCATTTCATATAGTTCTATCAATAACACAGAAAGAGTACCGTTTTTTTCTCCGAAAATTACCATGATTATAAATGTAATATTGATTTTTTACAACAGTTCAAAACAAGACCTTAATTAAGAGACTTACGTTTTAGACACCATATTGCCTGTTTTTGTGTTATTTTGACAACAAAAATAATTCCAAACACAGCCACAATGCTGTTTTGCGTTTCTGAGCGTGGTTCGTTCCTGAATGAATCAACCGTTTAAATGATTCGGTTCAATCACAATGACTCACTTATTAACAGTGACTTGCTGCCACCTGCTGGCGATTTTAATTTCACATTTATAGTTTCTTTTTATTATTTAAATAATTTCAAATAACAGTATTCAATGATTTATGTTTAATATATCAAAACATTATTTATGCATTTGTAATTGCAGGTTAAATGCATTCATGTTCTGCACTAAACAGTTCTAAATGCCACTTCAGATGCAGCTTCTGTGTTTCCTCTACATTGCAAAGATGAATTTTCTTGATACTGATTTCATTTGCTTGGTAACAGCCCAAATGTCTTATTATTAATTATTTACTAATTCACTGATTAAATATAAGAATTTGACTCAAAAGATAATGCACACTTTTAGAAAAAGGTAAAAATGCACATAACCGGTAAAAATTAATTTAAACTTATTGGAAAAGATTAATTTCTATCAGCGTGAACTGACCACCACACAGAATATGAAGAATATCAAAAACTTTAGGAGTCAGCTGTCCACGGTAGTCCTTAAGATACCAGCACAATAACACACTCAGCACAATATCGTCTAATTATTGTTATCGATAAAATGCCAGAAAATATCGAGATATTATTTTTTGTCAATATTGCACACCCCTACCATCATAACACACACACACACTGGCCATTGCTTAACCCTGCTGAGGTTTAGTTAACCAGACCAAGAACAGCAGCTCATACTGAGGTTATATTCTCCTCTCTTCCTCCATTACACCTCTCATCTCTTTCATCTTGTACTCTTTCATTTTTAACGTCCACTCACTCTATCCCTCGTCTGAATTCGTATCTGTGCGCCGTTCATCTACTCAAAGTGAATTCTAACAGACATAAAGATCAGTGTGTTATAGGGGCGTAACGGTTCAAGTTTCTCACGGTTCGGTATGCATTGCGGTTTTGGGGTCACGGTTTCAGTACAGATCTGTATTGGGTGATGGGGTATTCTTAATGGGGTATTTAGACATTTCCAGCAGAGTTTGTTGACAAATACTTGAACATTTTGCCTTAACTTTAAAAAAAAGTATAGTTGAATGTTCTACATTGTGTGCCAAAAATATAAACGTTATAAACAGCACTTTTAACCTAATAAAATATGAACACAGGACAGGGTAAAATCCCAAATGATAGAAAATAAATAGAAAGAAAAGCACAAAATAAGTGTCAGCCTGTCAGAGGTGGAATGTTCTGCAGGAACATCTGAACATATTAACATGTTGCTGCCATTTTTTTTCTGTAAATGTTAGGCTCTCATTATTACAATCTTTATTACATTTCATGTTCATAAATGAATCAAGAAATCCAAAAACTTCATATATTTGTTTATTTACATAGCAACAAGACACAATAGCTAAATTTAAAAGAATTCCAATTAATGTTAATATTTTAGTCTATTCATTACAGGCAGGGTAGGCGATTTGGTTCAAAAACATGTTCTGCTGGTTGAAAGTCTCTTCACATCCCGATAGCCAATCACTAAGTTAAGTGGTCTAAATGTATTTATATCATCTGTGGAAGGCATAGGACCATAAAATGTTCGTCCAATCATATTCCTCGGTCCGAGGACTGCGATAGGCTGTTCTACCTGCCTGTCAACGCATGTATTTGCATTCCTCCACGTATTTCCATTCCATTATGCTATTGCAGATGGAGCAAGAATGAAAGGCGTTAATATTGTAATATTATGCACTTTGTACTGTAACGTTTTCTCACTGGTAATGAGACATGAGGCAATCTGACAGCGCTGATGTCGTCTCTCATCGTGTCGCTAGTTTGCCTCTGCTCTGCCTGTGCGCGGTCATGTGTTTTGGAGGAGGCGTGGCTTTGGAGACTGATTATGCAGGGAGGATGTGATCTTATGCTTACAAAACTAGCTTGCTATTGCTAACCTCTCCGAAATCACCTACTCTACCTTTAACACTGCTGCCGCTTAACAGAGATAAACAACTATCTTCTTCTGTGTTTTGTTCCTGTAGTTGACAGCGCCATCTAGCGGATTGGCTGTGTGGTTGCAGAATGACGCACAGACACAAACACGAGACAGCAAAGCCTGTGCTGTGCATTTAGCTGAAGTTGTCACCGATTTACTATTTTGGTGGGGGGTTTGGTGGTGTATCGCCTTTTTTTGGGTTTGGTTTGAATATTGTTACACCCCTAGTGTGTTATGAAGAAATTGACCTTATCTGAGACTGTACAGTGCGTTCATTGTTTACAGAGATATAAATACACGTGTTATATATAAACAAGGCTTTATAAAGGTAGACTTCCCCGTGGTCTATCCCTCAGACTGCGAACGAGCTGCAAAAATAGAGAGAAGGTAAAAGTAGGCCGAGAGAGAACGCGAAAACAAAGGGAGCGCGAAAGAGAGAGAGTTTGTTTTCGGAACAAAATCATTCCCATCCTAAAACCTTTTCCAGCTGCCGCTATTCATTTCAACGGTTGGCTTTCATACTGAGCTTAGAAGCATTTTAAATACATTTTATACCACGTTTTATATACATGCTGTCATTACGCTAACCGAAACAATATGACAAGTTAAATACACGTCACCTAAATGAGGCGTAAAAGCCTTCGGTGTTTAAAACGCTGTCAGATGTTTCGTTTTATGGTAGTGAGGGCAGAACGAAATAACGACTGACCTTACGCTAAAACGTGTCCATCTACATACAGCATATGACTTCCTAGCAAATGACTTGCTCGCTATCAAAAGGTCGTTCAGGTTTTTACAGCACTTATAAAGTCATGATGATGACTAAAACACATATCTTCCCTCGTTCTTAAGGCCAGCCTCACATATTCCTGTTTGTTCTGTATTCGGGTCAAACCACAAAGCGGTTCTGCCACTCCGCCGGGCCCCAGATGAGACGACAGACTCGCTCTATGTGCCCCCGTGTCAATGAAATGAAAGCGAGTTGGGAGAAAGCTCTGTTAGTATCATTATCTGTTAGTTATTATTGAGCTAGATATGACACAAGCTACTACATAATTACATAGTTTTATTAAGATAAATGGTTTAATTTAATATTAAATCGTTTTTTTAATGGCTATGAGAGTGTATTTAGCATTTTTTATATTTTTATACAACTATATATTTATTTTACCTTATAACAATTAGCCTTCTACCAAATACATGTCAGTCCCCCTCTTTCAAACTGCAAAAAAAAAAAAAAAACTAAATTAAATTATTAGTAGTAGTAGTAATAGTAGCAGTAGTAGTAGTTTATTTATGTATTTATTAATTAATTAATTTGTTTTTGGCTCAGCATGAGGGATATTTCACATATATGATTTCCCACATATATATATATAAAAAAAATTTTAAATTTAAAATAAAAAAAAATTAAAATACATGAAAATGAAATGGAAAATAAAATGAAATGATTGATAAATAAAATGAATGCAAAATAAATAAAAATGTTAATAATAAATTAATAAATGAATTAAAATAAGAAAGAAAGAAAGAAAGAAAGTGAAAATGAAAAAAGTATAATATAATAATATATGTAAAATGTATATAAAAATTATATAAAATATCTTTAAAAATCCTAGACAAACTTCTGGAAAAATTTTCACTGAGGTGAAAGCTGTTAGGAGATGTAAAAATTGTGACATGCATTAATAGTACTGCAGTATATTATAGTATAGCATAGTATAGAATTGCCGGAATGCTGGCAAAGTATGCAAGAGTAGAGCAAATATAGTAGCAGGTTTACTACAATAAACTACGGCAAGTACACCACTTTATCCATGGTGAAACAAGGCAAAACGTTAGCGAGGCAAAAATGGAAAACTGTTGTCAAACTATCTGTATACGATCAGACCCGTCTGCCCCGGTAATGAGAAGGAAAACAGTAAATGATGCCAAACGTTTGAAGAAACTTAATGAAGGAGGCTCAAAGTGAACCATTTTCTGCTACAAGAGGAGCGTGACTGTGGGTTTACTACTGCAAAACACCTGACAAACATTTCCTCACGATCGCATCACATCTAAACGCTAAAGACTGTGCTCATTTCTGATCTTCCAGGAGATGTTTTATATAAACTAAAAGACTAAAAGGAGTTTGTTGCATTTCGATTAAAGATTATAAAAAAAAGACGTTTTTTTTCTAAACGAAAACATTATAGTGAAGAGTCGGGCACAAAAGAACAAGCACAAAGTCTCAATCAAGCAGCTGTTACAGAGAGAGATCTAATTATTTTCATAAATCCATTAGGTTTTCAAGCACTGTGGGAGGAGAGACATCGCTGAAGAGATTACGAGTGCTGCGCTGTTGACTGATAAGAGCTAATCAAGCACAGAAAGTGCTGTGGAAAAACAACACATTCACACACTACCAACCCCCCGGCGCTCGTACACACACACATCTGACAGCTCTTTAATGCTGCTTGCATTGACCTTTGGCAGAGGTCACACAGTCATGTGCTAACCGTTCCCGTCAGCGAGCACAAGGTGTGACCGTGTCCTTGAGCGGGAAACAGAAGAACCGTGATCTACAGTTGGACACGAGACCCAATCTGGACCTGCTCTATGCATTTCTACAGCAGAAATGTCTGTTTGGTCAGAGGCCTGGAGAGAGACAGGATCGTGTCAGCTTTCTGAACGCGAGCAAACACTCGAGCTAGATTACAGGAAACTACATAAATTACACACATAACACATTGCACAACTACTTTATCCTTCATGTTCATTTAAACCAGTGATTCTCAACCTGGGGACTGCAAGATGACTTAAGATAATGTAGAATAAGACAAAAAAGCAGTAAAGTACGCCAAAACAGCTAAAAATGAAGATGTACTCTAACATCATATTTTTTATTTACTTTGTTCCAAAAAAACTGTTATATATATATATATATATTTTTTTTATGAAGTAGAAACTGCTGAGAAATTGCTATTAGTCAGTACAATAATTACTATTATTATTATTCTTAATAATAATATATTGATATTCTAGAATTATAGAAGTTAGTCATTTTCATTTTAATTTAGTTCATTATTTTACTTATACTTTTTAAAATTTACTTTTTATATTTTGCCACTCATAGTGGATTTTTAGACCTGATAAAGGTGAGGAAATTAATTCAATCTTAAAAAGCCATAAATATTTAAATATTTTTAATTTACATAAAAAAACGAATTGCTATGAAATTGCTAATACTCAGTAATAAACAAACAAACAAATAAATCAATATTCTGGAATTACAGAAGTTAATTATTTTAACTATTTTAATTCATTTCATACTTTTACTGTATTTTATTATTTTTATATATTGCCAGTATATACACATTTTTATATATCATCTGTAAATAAAAAAAGTTTGAAATTTGAAGAATGTTTGAAGTAGCTTTGTCAATGCAACACAAGTACCAGAATTTGGGGGGCACTGAATATTGTTTCAAACAACCAGGGACCTCAGACTCAAAAGACGTTTGCTATGAGTTGCATTTCTTATGTGTAGATACCATTTGACTGTTGAATCAAAAGCAGCTCATAACATAACACACTGAATCAAATTACTCTGAGAGGTTTCCAGATCCCCTGGCTGAGCACCAGCTCCATTTATTTGGAAAAGTGATACCAGGTAGAGTCCTGGACCATCATTATGTTATGCAAGATCCACAATAACTTTAGTGCAGAATATTGCATGCAGCTATGGAGCTGAATGATATTGTATTGTATTGTCTTGCTGTTGCAGCCATTTACCTGAAGTACTCTCTCTAAACATCTGAATGAGCTATGAGAAGAACAATATGTTCAATGTGTTTGAGATGGACAAACAACCAGCATGCTGAAATTAGAGCCTTGAGTTTAGATTAGATTACATAAGAGTGCAGCAGCAGTAAAGGTAACGGCGCTGTTAATTCCTTGTGCGACCCGTTTCTAACACACTGTAAAATCAGAGACAAACAGAGTGCAAATGAAATAAGCGCAGTGAGCGAGACACCTGATGCTCTGAAAACATACCAAGGCTAAGCGAGCACCCGCTGGGCAGCGAACATGTTATCCTTTACTGCAAAGGAACCGCGTGGTTTGGCCCCCATCTCCCTGACACTCATCCTCTCCCCCATCAGCTGACCTTTGGCCCAACAGCTGACAGACAGCCATGTGCAGCCCCTGCATATCATGTTGAATCCTGAGAGCTCGCCAGCGTGGTACTCGGCCAGACTAACTGGAGTCAAGCAGAGTATTTTCGAAGCTGTGTATTTATAGACCTAGGGCTGTGGGGAGGCTTAGGGACCGCTGTCTATAATTATTCCAGAGGTAAATACATACAGTGATCCCTCAGAGTGTTAACAAATTATTAAAAACTGGAAAAGCCTCTAAAATGCAAGGTGCATGCAACTGGTTTAACCACAATGCATTTTTAAAGTGCTTGTGTATAAGGCAACCTATCTAAATGAAAATGATACCATAGGTACATATACAGTCAGTCATCACTCAGAGTGTTAACAAATTACTAAAAACTGAAAAAGTCTGTAAAATGTAATATGCATGTAAGCAACTGGTTTAAATACAGTGCATTTTACAAAGTGTTTGTGTATAAGCCAACCTATCTGAATGGAAATTATCCCATAGGTACATCCATACAGTGATCACTCAGAGTTAATAAATTAATAAAAACTGAAAAAGCCTAAAAAATGCGACATGCATGCAACTGGTTTAATTACAATGCATTTTTAAAATGCTGGTCTATAAGCCAACCTATCTAAATGGAAATTATCCCATAGGTAAATACAAACAGGGATCAAAGTGTTAAATAAAAAAAACTGAAAAAGCCTCAAAAATGCGACATGCATGCAACTGGTTTAGCTACAATGTATTTTTAAAATGCTTGTCCATTAGCCAACCTGCCTAAAGGGATTTGTACATTGCAAATACATTCTGCTGAATGTTTGCTCGCAATGATACACATAATAACTAACAAATGCAAAGGGACTGAAATTAGCTCCTGCAGGCTTGCTGGTGAAGACTAAGAGAGGTTATATATATATATATATATATATATGTGATCCTGGACCACAAAACCAGTCATAAAGGTCAATTTTTTTAAATTAAGATTTATACATAACCTGAAAGCTGAATAAATAAGCTTTCCATTGATGTACGTTTGTTAGGATAGGACAATATTTGGTCGAGATACAACTATTTGAAAATCACATATATAGGCTACTGTTACACAAATATAAATAATTGCCTGCAATTTATTTGGGTATTTCACAATCCTATGTTGAAATGATGTGTATCTGCATATCTTTAAAATTGAAAAGCAAAGCTTTACATGCAAGATCAAGGGAAGAGAAGTTTCTGAATAGTTATGTATATTGTTCAATGTTCAATTCATAGATGTACAAACACCTCAACTAATAAATGACAAGAAAACAATCACCGCTATCACTGGAAATATACAGCCGACTCTACAAATCATGTCTTCACAAATCTACTCAATCTGAATGCAATTTTAGGGCAAAATACTATTTACACTCACTGACTTTAACTTTGCATGTTTAAAAGTGCAAGATAAAACTGAGTAAGTGAATAAGTGCATTCTGATTTTTCACTTGCTAATAGATGAAAAGGCTTACGGTATCATTTTTCTCCGTGCAGGTTGGAACATGATCCGTTTCACCGTTTATGCTGTTGTCCTGCAGGGTGTTTGATTTTCTTGCACTTGTGCCGTGAGATACGTGGATGTGTACGTGCGGAGGGCCATTTATGGAGTGCACATCTGCAGCATTTGAAACGCGACAAGAAATCTCAGCGTTCGCACAGGGTACCTCCAAAGAAATACTCCTGTGAAGGATGTGATGTGACCCTTTTCTTGAGGACTTATCCGATGTCGGAAAAGTGGCGTGTCTTCTTTCCGTCGACGACGGCCTTCCGCTTGGCAGCATGCAGGCTGAGGTGCTCCGGAAAAGCCTGGCTTTCTGGGGTTCCGGGACGTTGTCGGTTTGTGGGCCCTCGAGAAGTTTGGAACAGTCGATGCTAACCTTTGTTTTGGCCAAACTTCCTTTCCCTGAGGGAAGTGGTCGCTGGCTTGCGAAGTGCAATACAACGCTGGAGTGTCTTTCCGTTCGCTCTGGTCCTGGCGGTTGCTCCGGAGGAACGCTGAAATGCACAATAGGTTTGGCGTCCCTGTGTTCTGCTGACGTACTGGTTTTGGAGAGCCGCAGACCATTAACTGCAGTGGCGACGGATCCCTTGGATGTTTCATCGTGCGACGCATCAACGCTGGACAGCTGCATCTGATGTGAGGTCTGAAAGGAACTTCGCGCAGATGGAGGCAGCGGAGGAATCATGGGAGACACTACCGGACTGACGGGGGACGCGGGCGGCGTGGTGCATGGGCTCCGTGGGAAAATCACCAAGGATGAGCAACGCCGCAATGGTGCCCTCGCCTTCCGCCGAGAGATCGGCTTGCGATCTGGGACGTCCGCTTCAAATATGCTGTTGCTGCTGCAGTAGCCGGCATCGCTCGTGGTGCTGCTGCTGCAGGAACCTCCATCCCCGTTTCCGCTCTCACAGCTGGCGAGCTCTCCATCTCCTCCGCAAGGCTGCAAGGAGATCTGCAGCATGCTTTTCCTGCTCACGTTCACCTTGGGGATAAATACAGTGGAGTGCCGCTGTAAATTACCGTACTCTGGTGACAAGGGTGGCAAAGCCAGAGCCAGCTGTCCTGGAGTCACCTTCATGTGGAGGGAACTCTGCACCAGGCCCTCGCTAGAGCTACGGCCAGTATTTGTAAACCCGCTTTCCTCGGAGCGACCGGTGCAAGTCTCTGACAGCGGGTCGGTGTTGCTTCTCCGCGAAGCAAAATGCAGTCGCAGTTGTCGCGCCATGAAGTCAAGCTTCCCGGGGATCCGGTGGGACGCGGGACATGGCAAAGCCAAAACAAGAAAGTAAAAAATGACCAGCAAAAAGCAACTGCTCCTGGTCCCGTTCTGCGATTGCAACCATTAGCGGTTGCACATTGCAAAAATAGCAGCAGTGACAAGCGGCATTCCTTCTTTGAAGCTAACAACCATGACAGGTCAAACGCACCATGAAGAACAGCTCAAGTTCTCTGAAGGATAATGGCGAACTCCGAGAGCTTTACTGAAGCAACTGCTTCAGAAACCCTGCAAAGGGCTCTACTGTGCCAGACCTCTGGAGTGCCTCAGCTGTGCCTTCTGTAGTTTCGCAAGCGCCGATTCAAGCACGGGTGCCCTCCCTCCCCCAGCTGCCGGTCACCCCCGTGCAAAAAACAACAATCTGCATGCATGCCAGGATGGAGGTGGAACAGCTCACCCCGTTCTAGCCAACCTCGACTCTTCAGCAGTGGCAGCCCAGTGTCTAAAGTTTCTAGTGAAGTTGCACCCCTGCTAATATTTTTACCCCACCAGGATAGAGATACAGGAAATAAAGAGGAACGGGGTTTGGCATAATTTTAAGCTTTCTCAAAAGCATCCACATACAGTACGTTGGAGATACGTGGGGAACAGGGTGTTACGAGCTGCTGAAACCGCCAAGCTCGTAAACTGAGAGTTTGGCTTATTTCTGCACTTCCAACCATGCACGGCTTGAACGCATGATAGCTTCATCTACAAATTTGAAAGTAGCAGAAGGAATCGAGCCTGTTTGTGCCAAAAAAGTGCCTCCAAATCAAATACTGAGCTTGTTGTGCCAGCTCTCATATGGACATGCGCCACATCACGTGTCATCTGACACCCACTGTTGCAGCCATTTAAGACCATGCTTCTGTCAGAGAGAAATGCCATCTCATCAATCAGGGTCAGTTGCACGAGGGGTAATTACAGTTACCACAGTGCACAGGACCAGTACGGGAAATCATCCTGCTCACAGCATGAATGTAAATTAAATATAAATGAGTCTGAGTCAGGGATTTTTTGCATTTTGTGCACTTGGAAATGAACAAAGTTTTAGGATTTTGGAATTTTAAAACAAAGAAAAGGGGTAATTGCATGCATTTCAAATTGCAATGCAATATATGCGAGACTGAATAAGCAATTTTTGCATTTTTTTTGCACTTGGAAATAAAGTTTTAGGATTTCGGAATTTTACAAAAAAGAATAGGGGTAATTGCTTGCATTTTAAATTTCAATGTAATATAAGTGAGACTGAATCAGGAATTTTTGAATTTTTTACACTTGGAAATGAACAAAGTTTTAGGATTTCTGAATTTTACAGTAAAGAATAGGGGTAATTGCTTGCATTTTAAATTGAAATGCAACGTAAGTGAGACTGAATAAAGGATTTTTGCATTTTGTGCACTTGGAAATGAACAAAGTTTTAGGATTTTAGAATTTTAAAACAAAGAATAGGGGTAACTGCATGCATTTTAACTTGCAATGTAAAATAGGTTAGACTGAATAAGGGATTTTTGCATTTTGTGCACTTGGAAATAAAGTTCTAGGATTTTGGAATTCTATAATAAAGAATAGGGGTAATTTCATGCATTTTAAATTGCAGTGCAATATAAGTGAGACTGAATCAGGGATTTTTGCATGTTGTGCACTTGGAAATAAAGTTCTAGGATTTTGGAATTCAATAATAAAGAATAGGGGTAATTTCATGCATTTTAAATTGCAGTGCAATATAAGTGAGACTGAATAAGGGATTTTTGCATTTTGTGCACTTGGAAATAAAGTTTTAGGATTTAAAAATTCTAAAACAAAGAATGGGGTAACTGCATGTCAAATGAAAATGAAACAGCAGTCAGAATGATCACAGAAGAAACATTATCTACTGTCACAAGCCTAGAAATGTTTTGCACAAAAAGAGATCTAAAATGATTTGTCATCCTTTTCTGTAAGCTACCACATTCCTCAGGAGATAGAAATAGCATGCATGCTTGGCGCATGCCAGCAAACACATTTTAGCAATGACATATCAGTTTTTCTTACATCCAGTAACCGGGTTAAGCTATCTGTCAAATGCAGGAAGGCAACTGTGGTTTATTATCTTATCAAGAGTTACTGTTTTTACATGAACACTGGGTCTTTTATGCAAGCGTTTGTTTAACCTTCCTCGTTATTCAGGGAGGACGCCCTCAGCGTGTGACGGTGAGAACCCCCCTAACACAGTCATGCCTCATTCACTTTTATGTGTTTTAAAGCAGTTACTTTTCACGTTTAACAGCACCCAAAGGTAAATTTCAGTTCCCAGACCTGAGTTTTATGGTGGCTACTTGCAAAAAGGCATCCTTGTTCATTCATTACACACTGACGTTCAGGTAGCTGATGTTTTTACAAACCTGAACCCTACACTAACAAGCCAAATATATTTGATACTGCTGAACTGTATAAGGTTTCATTACCATCTAACACATTTTCCATATTTCACATTATAAAGCTAAACAAGCAGTCCTGTCTAAAACTAATGCTACTGGTTAAGCCAATATATCTACATCAGACAACGCAAAAAATAAAAATAAAAGCAGATTACAATGCCGTTTGGTGCCACTAATGGTGTGGAAATTATAACACAAATTTTGCAACTTCAGTAGCAGACCGGACAAAGAATATATGAATTATAATTTCACAACCTAAAAATCTGTTAATTTAAGCTTCAATTCTCTCATCTACACTAACATTCAAAATTTTGGGCTCTGATTTAAAAAAAATATAAATTTTATTCAGCAGAGGATGCATTCAATTGATCAAAAGTGATAGTAAAAGACATTTACAACATTACAAAAGATTTCTATTTCAAATAAATTATGTTCTAATGAACTTTCTATTCATCAAAGAATACTAAAAACACAAAAAATATGATTATGAAAATATGAAGTAGACCAACTGTTTCAAAGATTAACTGTTTCAACATTGACAATAAGAAGTGTTTCTTGAGCAGCATATTAGAATGATTTCTGAAGGATCATGTGACACAAGACTGGAGTAATGATGCTGTGAATTCAGCTTTGATCACAGCAATAAATTACATTTTCTATTATCTCCATTATCTATTACAGTAGGAAACAGTGATTTGAAATGGTAATAATGTTTCACAATATTTCTGTTTTTACTGCATTCCCCCCCCAAAAATAATTGCAGGCGTGGTGAGCATAAGCATTAAAAAAATCTTACCAGTCCCAAACTTTGTTACAAACATCTTTACCTTTTTGACATCACAGTAAAACAAAAATGCATTCATTTCATTTACATACCAAACGATTTTCATCAAACACCTCCAGCAGCAGACGATGTCTCCTAGGATGCACCTGTGGGAGAAAACAAAAGACAAATAAAATAAGTGAATATTCACAAGAATGTTAATATAAGTATATATATATGGAGTAATACAGTGAATTTATTGTCACATATTTAAAATAAATGATGTCTCGTTACAAGCCAGATGGTCTGTTCATCCTCCATTCATAACCCTTGACTTTAGGCCTGTAAATGGCCCGTGTCTCAGACAGTGTATCGTTTAGCATTTCATGAAGTCCCCGTGCTGGTATTTGGGCCAGTGGTCAGTATCACAAATAGGCCAGAACCTTTTATGCCACTGCCTGGATCTGGTTATGATTCATATTAAATATCAGGTACAGTAGACTTTTTTTTTTTTTGCATGGAAAAATGGGATATTTTACACGCATATATACAGCATGGTCCAAAAGTATGAAACCACATTGCAAATCAAGGATTCTGTGCACCTGGAAATAGCAAAGATTTTGATATTTTATAAAACAAAATACAGGTATGAAGTATTACGACTTTTGAAATTTAGAAACAAAGAATAGGTACGTAAAATGAATAAGAAATACTTCAGATTCTGCCTATTTCTAGGCCACCATTCCAAAAAATAAGCATGACATTGATTAGTGACTCATTGAAACTCAAAATGCTCTTTTGGAACATCTCAAATCATGCTTAATATGAGCAAAACTCATTTTCAGTCTTCAGCATGCTTGATATAAAGCATTGATGAGTCTTCATAACATCTTGAAATGGTTTCTCTTAGCACAGTCCTGTTTCCAGGGAACCTTACATGCATCTCTCTGTCCTTTCTGAGAAAATGAGTGATGTCTACAGAAGAGATACGCACACCGCGTCAGCAAATGCGTCACAGCTCATCACAAGACAGCAGGGAGAGCGGACAGAATGTAAGAGGCGCCCCTCATCTCAAATGCACCCCGTAACTCAACCCCTGACCTCTGACCCCAGAGCATGTGAGAGCACCTCTCTCTTTACATGCTGCCCAAACAGACTCTTATTTGTGACCCTGGACCACAAAACCAGTCATAAGGGTCAATTTTTTGAAATTGACAACCAAGGGCGTTGCTATGCAGATGCGGTTTCTAAGGTATTCTTAATCTTTGTAAGCATTGCACATACTTGACTGAAGCATTATCACTCATTTTGTCTTTTTTTTGGCTGTTCACATTATAGTGCATTTATATAAAATGCAAAAATGGTTTTATAAAACCCTTGAACTTTTAAACAGGCTTCCAATGCTGCAATATGAGCAGCCCGTATTGCATAACGTTTTCTATTATTACCAAACACAATGACTGCATCTGTTTAATATTAGTTCACAAGAACACATTACTGGAATCACTAACAATATCTAAATGTGATGATGATGAACAGAGAGTTCAGTAAGTAGGAAACAACTAAAAACAGCACGTGTGTATATGAGATCTTATGGTACAGAACAAAATGTTTTACAGGTGAATCTCATTAAGAAATGTCTGGATGGTGTACATTACACCCTAAAACTGAAAGAGAAAAGAAATATATAATTTTCACTATAAAAACAAAGCTTATGCTAAGGCTCATTAAAATCGCTGAATTATTTTTATGATATTTAAGCTAATTTTCAGATTTTTTTCTTGATTGACAATTTTTTTTGTAATTAAAATCAGCATAAATTAAAAGTACTATAAAATATTCAATACTGTATTAATGCTTGTATTCCTCATTTGTAAGTCGCTTTGTATAAAAGCATCTGCTAAATGAATAAATGCATTTAAATACTTTTATTGCATTACAGTATTGAAAGGGATTTTTGACCTAAAATATTTACTTCCAAGTCTCCCTGAAATTTTATTTAATATTTCAATCATTTAACAATAGACCGCATGTTCACGGTTCACTGTTAACAAACTTTTTCATCTTTTTTTTTTGTTTTGTAATTTATCTATTATTATTTTTTAAAAATTTACTTATTTTAATGTTACATTTGTGCGATTTA